AACAAGGATTGATCTCTACAGGATATGTGAAGACTGGAGAGCAACTTGGAGATTTGTTCACTAAAGCACTAAATGGAATTCGTGTTGGTTACTTATGTAACAAGTTGGGCATGATAAATATTTATGCTCCAACTTGAGGAGGAGTGTGAAAGACAATATATAATATTCTTTAGAATATGTTTTAGAATATTCTTCTATCTTTAGAATATGCTTTAGAATATTTTAGGAATATACTCTAGGATATTATTATTGTATAGAATCTTAAAGGAATATTCTATCTTTGTAATGTATATATATGGGCTTGACCCTCCAATGAAAGACACACAAAAATCATTCTTCTCATTACTATTCTCTTTAATTCTTACAACAGTGGGAATGTTTCATGCCAATCTCACAGGCGACTGACGAGTTTCCAACCGATTAATCGGTTGGAAAGTTAATAAAAATTAGCTAGTTTCAACATAAAAATTAATTGGATTTAAATTACATATTCTGGATGAATGTACCAGCGGACCACTAGATGTTAATTTCTTTCTTTTTATTTATAATTGAGCGCTGGTATTGTAACATTGTAGAAAATCACCACCAACAAAGTACACAATATAGAACACAATCTCAAAACATGGCATAAAAAATTAGTATTCTGGATTGTTAAAACACAAACAAACAACATAAAACAGAAGTTTGACAAATTAAAGGAAATTGTTCATTACAACACACCACCAAAAACTCAAATTCCAATAACTTCTTCATTAGCTTCCTTCATTTCCTCTCTCATTTGCAGCAAATATAGTGCTCAGAAATGTGTCATCCAGAGCTGTGCTATTACGGTTTTGTAGAGGAAAGAATTCAAATGGCACTTGAGAAGGCATAGAGGGATGAAGTGGCACAGATTGATGTCCGGACATGTAGCCATTCGGGTACATTGTTGGGTAATAAGGGGCCTATTGTGCGTGCAAACTGTGAGTCATCCCTGATGGAACCGTAGGAAACATAGATGTATGAAGCTGAGGCATAAGACCTTGTGTCATATTTGGATTTGAAAGGTTGTTCGACCCATGAGTAGAATCCATCTCCCGCCTCACCATCATTTGTCCTATTTGATCCATTATCGACGATTTAAAAGCATTGAAATCATCGAGCTTCACATATTGGTTCTGTCTACTCGACTGAGTCGGACTGGACCGGTATAAAATATTTTTAGGAAAAAAAATACAAATTATTTGCACCGAAAATTAAGGCATTTTTAGAATTGGGGTGGGTCACGACCTAGGTGGCTAGGTTGGTCCTCCTCTAGCTCCACCCCTGCGCACAAGATAAATTGGTTACGCTAGCTTGGCTAATGATGGATAGTATACCCGGGGGGGTATCTTATCCGAGGGGTTATTGCGGGAATAACTTAAAGAGAAGTCAGAGCAAGTAAGTAAGAGAGAGAGTGTATATTCGACATGAATTCAGCGTGTTTTTCAATGGGGAAATGGCCTGCTATTTATAGCAACAATAAATACGATGAGGGTACACGTGTCAACAATCTAACGGTCAAGGGGTCACCTTAATCGGGGTGGCACCGACATTTGCATGTGGCCGCATTAAATGCAGTGGTTGGATGCGACGTTTGTACTTGGTACGGTGATCCAGCGCATGTGGAGAGGAGATTATGTCGAGGAAGACGCCTTTGGCTATACCTACTGTGCCGAAGGCTCCATGGGCTGGGGGCTGTAGGTGCCGAAGGCTTGTTTTCAGCCTTGTTCTCCTGTGATGTTTCTGGGTTCAATTATGTCAACGGTAGCCTTCGGCCATGGGGCCGAAGGCACCCCTTGCATGTTGTGGGCTGTTTAGAGCTTCATTTTGCTGGGCTTGGCCCATTTGGGCCCGTTGGGCCTGTCGGCAGTTGTGGAAGTATGTGGGTCAGGGGTCCCTGGACCATATACTCCATCAGCTAGCCTCTTGTACATGTACCTATTCAAAGTGATATATGAACATGTCCTCTTAATATACCAATAGTTTCCGGTATCATCTTATTCTTTTAGTCAAGTCCCATGGTTTTGGAAAATTTGGAGAGTTTAATTCTTCAGTGTTCACCCAATTAAAAAAGAAATTAAATCTTTTCAATGTAACTTGGATCATGAATTTAATAACGCCTTGTTTCTTACCTTTGCTCGGGAACTTGACGTTACTTTCTTTTTTCTTGTCCATAACTATTTAGATTGACTTGTTTCACATGGATTCTACTTGCACAACATCCTTCCCACCAAATCACTAGCCTCCCACTAACCTATTTAGCTCTATATTATAATCAACCCAACATATGAGCATCTTCACTCCTTTGTCGTTGCTATCCTGGTATTATCCCCACCACACTCCGAAAAATGAGCCCTTGATCTACTCATTGTGTCTTCCTTGGGTCCCCACCTAGCCAATAAAACTACAGATAATATTATAAGGTTACTATCTCCAGACATATTAGACTGTGTTCGTTTACGGATACACGTCAGTCTCTTCATCTGTCCCTCATATTACTTGCTTTCACCTAGCATTCTCCCTCTAGATACCGTGGGCTATCAGCCTTTCCCAACTGTCTCGAACCCAACCCCACTTCCTCACTTTGTCTCTCCGACTCCTCAACCTACCATGCCCCCCCCCCCACATACATCGTACATATTCGCCCTACACTCCACCACACCGCCTCAACAATATTCCTCAACACAACCCACACCTCCCTGCTTCGACCTCCCACCATTTTACCTATCCCATCACCACCCCTTCCTTCTATTCCTACTCACGCCATGGGAACTTGAGCATCTCATGGTATATTCAAACCCAACCCCATTTTTACCTTCATTTTAAGACATTCCTCACTCCAATCTTTATTCTCTTCAAACATTAACTAGAATGTTATCATGAAAGATGAATAGAATGTTTTGTTGAAAATAAACACTTCATATCTAGTTCCTCATCCTCTCAACGCTCACGTTATTTGCTCTATATAGCTATTCCGGCACACGTTTCACTCTAGTGGCTTTCTACGGTGTTACACGGCTCGCTTAGTGGTTAATGATCAATAATGTTTTTATATGGTTATTTGTGTAAGACAGTTTATATGCATCAACCTTGGCTTTATAATCCTACATTACCTAATTATTTTTTCATTTGTGAAAATGTTTTTATGGCCTCAAGCAAGCACCTGGATCTTGGTTCCAACGGATTGACACATTCATTACCCATTGTGGATTTCAAGACAATATTTGTGAGTACTCCTTATTTGTTTATATGGCCTATTTGCTGCTATATGTAGACATCATTCTTCTTTTAACATCCTCTAATGCACTCCTACATTGTTGTATTGCTCTCATGAAATAAGAATTTACCATGTCTTATCTTAGTGCATGACATCAATTCCTCAATCTCATTGTGACTAGATCTGCATGAGGTGCACGAGGTTTATTCTTGTCTTAGTCTCTCTATGTTGAGGCGATAATTGCTCGAGTGGCTGTGACAATATGTAGACATGTGACCGCTCCTGGTGATACATATATGAAGCTATTTGACGGGCTCTCCTACAATGGATCCGGCTTTATATCATAGTCTAGCGAAAGCCCTCCAATATTTTAGTTTACCCGTCCTTCAATAGGTCTGCCTCTTTATGCATGATCCTTGAAGCCTCATTTCCAATCACACAAGCATATATTAAACTACTTACAGGCACACTAGACCCTTGCATGTTCATATTAGCTTCCTCCATATCTGGTCTCACTGTTTACTTTGACGCAGATTGGATATGATGTCCTAATTCGTAGCGATCTACATCCAGTTTATATGTGTTTCTTGATGATAATTTCATCTAACAGTCCTTTAAATCTCATCCCATTATATTGAGGTTCAATGTCGAAACTGAATCGAAATGGGTTGCCAATGATATTGCAGAGTCATGTTGAAAACGCAATTTATTAGTAGAACTTCATCTTCCTTTGCCAAGCTATTAGCATAGCATTGGCAATTCTTTGGAAACCCTTTACAACATCAGCACACCAAACATATTGAAATTGATGTTCATTTTGTTCATAGAGATATTTGAATTCCTCACATTTCTGTTGGATATCAATACGAAAATACGTTCACCAAAGCACCTCAATCAGCTATTCCTCCCATTGTTATTTGTATAAATAATCGATATGTAATCCCCAACATTCCCCTTGGAATATCTCTTATACCCTCCTCTAATATCTCTTGTATTTATCTCCTCATTTATTCTCATTGCCTATGTATGTAGGGAGATACATATTCTTATTCAAGGTACGAATCTTTCTTTTGTAAGACAGTAAAAAACAATCAACGAGAAAACTGAATTAACTAAAATTTTCAGGACAAAAATGAAAAGAAACCGCATCCAATACTTCAAAGTGGTTTGCCAAATCTTGGAACAACATATAAAAATTGATAGAGTATATCTAGAGAGAAGTGAGAGCTAGAGAGAGAAGTGCAATAATATGCTTCAATAGAATGATTTTTTCACCCCCATAACTACTCCCAAGGGGAGTATTTATAGAGAAAATACGGGCTGGGCTCCCAAGGCTTGGGCTTGGGAGGCCCATTTACAACTGGACCGTTACTGGGCCGAATACAAAGCCACTAATGGGCTGTACAAATAAGTAAGTATAAAATCCGGTTCTGTGAAGTCTTCGTGGCCGACGAGGGCACGGCCGACGAGGGCACCCGGGTTCCTTGGGCTCAGGACCATAATCCGAGTTGGCACCTTCTCGGCCGACGGGGGTCCCTTGGTCGACGTGGGCGCCACTCGGTGTCTTGTGTTTTCTGTTCTTCTGAGTATGTGGGTCCAGGGGCTCAGACCCATATACTTCATCAAAAATCTTTTAAAGTAACTTCACATTTCATCAATGACAAAGTAATTGTAAAATACTTCATCTCAACAACTTAGTTTGTTGCAACACTTCCCAACGTACTTATGTTAACTATAACCAATGGGTGCTTTTTTCATGGTGGTTAAACCGGTTAAGTGGTTTGGCTGGTTTCTAAGAATCAAGACATACAAGAAAGTTGATTACATTCAACATGTTTCAATGCATTCAACATTTAGCAAGTCTTGTCTTACAAATAAGTTTCGATTAAAATACATCTTTGTAAACAAAATTAGAATAATGTTAATAAAACATACTCCTAGTATAACAACTTGTTCTGCACTACCCTCATATAATCTGAAGCTCCGAGGTGTCCCAACTCCCAAGGTTATCTATCCCATCCTCTCATATTTCAGCCAAACCTTTGCGAGATGACCTGCATCGACTATTAATACAGTTCAGAACTTCAGATATGTTTTTGAAAGCAAATCATCAAAATATAAGAGCAAGTAAAGTTGCAACAACCCAAGAAAACTTGAACTTTACGAAACTTGAGATGTTCAACAGCAAAATATGGCTTAAATATGTTTTAAGTCCATACAAATAGTGTGTTTTTTAAAACCCCTACATTTTTTTTTGTTTTTCACCGGTTTAGTGTATGTTGTTTGTCCTTTTAATCCCCATTGGACCTGATCAACCCCCATAGACAATGAAACGGACATGACCCACAGGTTTTTTTTAGTTTAATGCAACAAATCCCCTTGTGACCCATCGTGGTTTTAAAATGCGTCAAACCCCCATGTCAGTATGTCATATGAAGTATTAATCATGGACACAACACCCTGAAATGAACAAATTTAATTGTCAAATAAAAGAAAATGTTTAGTACTTTTGAGTAGTTTAGAAATATTGACAAACTGACATGCACATTTAACCATAGCACTAAGATACGTGATTTAAAGACTGCTAAATGAATTGCTTTAAGTTGTTATGTGCAAGATTAATTATAACACGGGGGCTTTGACGCATTCTTCAAATCACGTGGGGCTAATAATTTTGACACATAATTTTTTTAGATAGCCATTGGCACCTATACTTTCCATCATTTGCAATGGGGCCAAAGATTCATTATTTTTTGGCTTGAGATTATGATGGAATAAAGCAAAATGGCTCACTAAACTGTCTGCGCTTCTTTGTTATGAAGCAGCAGTCAGTCCATGCAATTTTGGACGGAATTTTCACTATTGGTCGTTCGGAAACAGTCTCTTTGTGCTTTAGTACAGGGGTAAGACTGCGTACATCTGACCCCCCCTTACCCCACCGTAGGTGGGAGCCTTTGCGGCACTGGGGTAAATGAAAATGAAATGAAAGCCATTGGCACCTATATTTAAAACGTGAATGCTTAGATTCACTTAATTTTATCTCCACTATTAGTCTCCTGAAAGGTATAAAAAGCGGGAGTGAAAATTTAGAATAGAACTATGCAAGCAACATTAATTTTCTCTCTAATAGTAATTAACCTGATTTAGAGAGAAACTAACAAGACAATATATCAAACGTAGTATATTGTAAGGATGAAAAAGTGTTATTGCAGAGACTAAAAGCATATTTAAGCCAATAAATAAAAGTGACAGGGAGAAAAGAATTGAACTTTCTTGGGTTATTAAGGGCATGGCATTCTCTTCCCATCCTGAATCCCATTTTGCACAGCATCTTGTCTCTAACACCCCCTCTCTCAAGGATTTCAACATGTTGCATTCCTCTGGGAAGCCCTTGAATAGCATCTAGGAACAACAAAAAATTCCCATTAAACTTCCTCATCAATGTATCATATAATATCAGAGATTGAGTTGAGTGGATACAAGGACGATCCAGCTTCAAGTAACTTCTCTCATTTTCCAAAAATTTATCATCTTGGAGCAAGTACAAGTAACTTTTCTCACTGCAGAGGATCCAGTCTCAATATATCACCGCTTCTTCTGATTAGTCAGTTGTCACATGGTAGGAGAATTTGTAATACCTCAAATGAATTGAAGATCTTTAACTATAGTGATCAGTGATGGTTCAGTTCAAGAGCTTTACCATATCAGCACATATTACATGTGACAAGGCTATGTTTGGCAAAACAAGCCAATGACCTATCTGGTAGCTCATACGGAGTAGTTGTTAAGATGAATAGTAGCTTAACATTTCAATTTTACAATTTATACCAACTATTGATCAGCTAGTAACGTAACACTTACCTGATATGCTAGTCTAGAAGTACAAAAATGAAATGTTTAAAATGATTTTAAAATAAAAATGAGTTAAAAAGGAACTACAAACAAAAAGCCCATCAACTGATTTAAAAAGTTATTGCAGAACGTTACTTAATACAACTCAAGCTTATAAAACACGTTAAACAACATAATAAATCTGCAAAAAATGAAATGTTTCCTAAGAGAAACTATTCCCACATCTCCAAATTTCCTTTCCACTTTCTTTTGGGAAGACAGTCGCATCACAATATTCCCCGCCATTTCCTTTTGCGGAATTATTTCTGTGGTTGATATGGTTTCTTTTCACATAAACCACAACCGAACAATTTCATTTTCTGAAAAATTGTGTCAATTTAAAGTGGGAAGAAAATCTTAGGACAGAAGGCGTGATAAATATCCCCTCCGCCCAAAAATTCAAGCAGTATTTCAGATTACAAGGTTGGCTGAGGTCAAAGTTATTTTTTTCATAATAATATTTAATTTAGTTTACTGATTAAAATTTACATATTCAAAAACTACCTCAAAAGATCTATTATTCGGATAAAATCACATTTGATTTTGATAGAAATTTGATAAATAAAGACATAAAAGAGTGGTATTTACAAGTTTACAACATGAATAGTTACTAGGACATATAAAATGGAACAGGGTAGTAATTTCTAAGATAGCTTACTGCAAGCCAAATATAGCCTCAATAAACCCATAACAATTAACAAGTGATATGCTCTCTCCGGGACAAATAGCGAAGACGCTACAACAAATAATCATCCAAACACAAAAATGAAAAACTCACCATAAGTTCATCTGCTAGTTCAGACGAGGACGAGAAAAGCAGTCCATTCTCCTCCACTTTTACAAGCTCCTTAATACTTTTCAAATTTGTACATAAACATTTATAAGCATCGAATCCAAGTGCAAGATAAGCTCAAAGTGTTTTCAAACGGGAGGAGGACTGAGTTTCATACCAAGAGTAGGAAACTGCACACACTGGCAATCCACAACCAAACATATCCACAACCTAAATTTGAACATTTGGGAACGAGAGCTTTCATGCATAAAAAACATTGCAGACAGATACGAATTCTGGGAATAAAAAGTAAAAACACCTTCATTGGAAGATCCAGACCCGAGGAAGACGTGTGAAGGCAAACACCAAGATCAGCTGATCCTGTCCACCAATACAAGACCGGTGATTTAGATGAAAATGAAATAATTATTATAACAAATATAATAAAAAATATGAAGTACATACCAAGAAGCACTGGATAATCCTCTGCCGAAAGCCACATTGTACGAAATGCTACACGCTTCAGATTCAGTTTTCTGATCTTCTGCTCATATTTTTCCTTTTCAGGCCCTTTTCCTTCATTTTATAAAATGTTACAAACTATGTAAGGTTAGAAAATTAAAAAAGAAAAAGAAATTAAACTTATCTTTACATACGAGCAGTGGTTACCGGTAATTATGAATAACAACCTTGGGTACAAAAATTGTTTCCCATGCATCATTTCCTGCCAAACAAGCTCCTCCCCATGCGAGTCATCCTCATTTAGAATTGCAGCAACTCGTCTATCATACATGACAGCTGCTTCTAAGAGGATTTCAAAATTCTCATCTGGGGTCCTGAAAACAGGCATATCTACAACTAAAATCTGAATAATCTCATCATTAACAAAAGAGTGAATTCCTAAAATAGGAGAAACATACTCAAAATGCAAAACTAGGAGTAATTGATTATAATTCCCTAAATAGGAGTAAGCATTTGTGATTGCACAAAAACACCCTTGTAAGGGTTCAAGCTTGGTCAACGGACAGCCGCCGACTGCCACTGCTGCAGGTCACCGGACCGCTTCAGCCGGGCTTCCACCACCACTGGACTGCCCTCAGTATGCTGGGGGAACTAGGGGGCAACTAATTATATTAAGGGTAGAAATGTAATGTTTAGTCCTATTTAGGGAATATAAAACATGGAATCCTATTTAGGAACTTCAACCATGTTTTACTCCTATTTAGGGCAATTTCTATTAACAATATATCAAGTAAACACATACAAACAGAAATCGAATGAATAGTAATTAAACAAGAACTAACCAGCTTGTACTGCTGACAATGAGAGCTGGTCGGTTCAGCTTCAAGTATATACCGTTTTCGGTCTGAGTTGTAAAAGGAGTTTTATCGGAGTCAAAATTGTCTGTCCCCAATATTCCTGAAGATACTCAATCTTCAATATAAAAATGTAACTAAAGGTAATATTACAATTTAAAATATCACCAGACCAAATATGGAAATAAAATACATTACCATAGCTCAGACAATCTTTCTGGCCATATGGCTCTTGTATGCTTTTACTAATCCTACATAACAACTACAGCCCACACAAGAGTTAAGGTTTTCATGACAAGGCATTTATTATAGGCCATTTTCACAAGTAAAAGTTGATTCACCTTATGTTTCTCCTCAAGGGATGCAGGTTGAAAGAATTCAGGAGACTGATCATACAGAACATTGGCACTAAGTTCGTTGAAAACAGTTTTAACACAATATTTTAAGTGGATATGAATAATTGAAATGATGTTTAAGACAAATTTGATATCCTTCCCTTACTTTATACTCCAGTTTTGCGCCAATTCATGTTGCATTGCCTTTGTAACACACAATGACCCATTTGCCATCCTTCCATAGTGCTTTTCGATCCTTTCCATTAGTAAATAAAATTATGATACATAGAGTCATAGAGATACATGGAAGGTTTGATAAGCTATAGATATGTGAAAGAAAATTAGCTACCAATTATAAAGTGTTACAAATCGGCTGTTTCTGCCAAGAGACAATGCAAGGAGGGTGTATCCAAAATTATGCCAATCTATGACGAATGCAGAACGCCTGAACCAGCTTGCCCATTTTACAGCAACCAATGTAGGAACAGATGGAGGATTCTGTCAAGGTTCGAACAATGGGATAACACTTAAGACTACATCAAATTTTTAAAGCACTAAGTGATATAATTACATTACACTAGTATAAGATAAACAGAAAAAAGACATCTCACTAAAATAATATAATACGTAGTATATGATAAAATGAAAGAATTCAATATCTTTGTTTTAAAAGTAAAAATTTGGAAGATATTTGGATGCTGTTAGCCTGTAGTAGGTATAAATCTCAGAACTCACCTGCACTATGAATACGTCGGGGGCAGGAATTTTGACAAAGAGATACCACAAAAGCATCACAAACTGAATCAATGGCTTGAGCATGAGCATTAAAGGATGTAGCATCTTGGAAAATGTTTGAGGGGTTGATGGCCACTGTGTCTGTATGATGCAAAAAAGGCCCATAAGGAAAAATATAACACAATGTTAGTGTTTTTTAATCATCTAAAATGCGTGTAGAATATTCTAAAAAGGGAACCGAGAAACAATACCATTCTATGAGTGTGAATAGACGGATGCTCTAAAACAGCAGAATGGGGGTCTGAACCTGCCCATCGATATCATGGATTAGAAGCAGTTGAATTACAGTTTGATTCATGTGGTTCAAGAGGATGAAAACTACACCACTCAATGGCAACCTAGTTGTTATACGTGAATTCTTCATAATCCAAAAACACCTTATTCTAAGATAGGACTCATTCCGTCTCAAAGGAGTGTACTTGGTTTGTGCTAAAAATATGACTCGTTCAATCATAAAGAGTAAAGTCGAAGACTAGTTAATTCTTTTCTCTTAGAGGCGATTGAGTCATTTTCCAAAACAAAGAACAATTTTGGTACTATTTACATATATGTGTTAATTGTTATATGTCAGTCAATTTATGGATTTTCCCAATATATATATCAATAAAATGCAATATTTCATGAGGTATCTGTTTTCCCAAACCTCAGCACCTCCTAGAATCATTTCCCATCAGATCATCAGAAACTATTTCACATAGCATGCTGATAACATCATTTTTATAAAATGCAGAATACAGTTCGCAATTAGGAACAAAATCTTTTTTGTAAAGATTCTAACTTTCTAAGCTTCTTGAACCCCATTGAAATTTTTTTAATGGTTCCGTTAAAATGTGTGTGCGTATGGTTTCTGTAAGTTTCATAATTCGTTACAGAATTACAAACCTCCATATGCAACAATATCCACCTCTAGATGAGCCTGCAAGAAAACACGAAATTGCAGGGACAGATGTATTTAAAAGGTCAAATCTTTAAATCCAGCTTGGATAGATGGTGTTTATATAGAGCCAAGCATACTAAAAAATAACTATCTTACATGAGAGTACATAAATCTACAATAGAACTGCTCACAAGTAAATTCACAATAAAACTGATCGGTGATTTATACAAATAATCTGCCTCATCATTTAAGTTGTCTTTCATCCCTTGTTGCAAAATCTATGAAAACCTACAGGCAATGCATCTCACAGCGGGAACCAATGCTCATTGCTGACAGGTCATATGATTTCCACTTTTTTAATGGAACTCAAAATCTATGTGCAGTTTTACAAACCTGGCGAGCTAGAGAAAGAGCGTGATATTGCATCCGAGGACTGCGGCCGATGTCCCCGAGAACTACGACTGCTGCCCTACCTCTCCGCACCATCTTCGGTTGATCCATTGCTGCCCTACCTCTCCGCACCTTAGAATGGTTTGAGCAGAAAGTCGATCACTGTCCGGTTTCTACTGTGGACAGAAACTTTGAAAATAAAATGACACCGCCATGACTGGCCCCTCAACACGGGTGGATGTTTTCTTTTGGACCGGTTCAGTATTTCAGGTCAGATCAGATCAGATTTAAACAGATCAGACCAGATCAAATTTAAACAGACCAGATCAAACTTAGACAGTTATACAATACACAGAGATCAGACATTTCTCAAATCAGACCAGCAAATTTCAGTCTAAAAGAAAACATCCCAAGTGAGAGAAGTAAATTGGATTCTAATTACAAATTGATATATATCGACTCACCACCTGGGCGGGTCGGGTTGGGGTTTTACAAACCCTACCCGCCACCCGATCTAGGCCCAATACTAATCGGATTTTCGGGTTTCAGGTTTTCGGATCGGACGTCCGTATCCAATTGGATATTATCCGCAAAAAACTTCGGAATTTACGGGTCGAATCGGGTTTTGCTCAGCCCTAATATCGATTATCGAGTGAGACTCTAGCTCAAGTACTTGTAGATAGGGGTGGACAAAAAATCCCATAACCGATTAACCGTGGTAAATAACCGAAAAATCGTTGTTTGTTTTGGTTAATCATACCGTGTTTTTAAAATCTTGCGGGACGGTTAACCAACCGATAGAAAAAAACATTTTACTTTACAGTTACGGTTTTGAAATTAAATACCGTCGGTTAATCGATAATCCAAAAGTTAATATATTGCTCCCAAATTCATACATACATTTTGCTTATTAGATTCCAAATTATTGTTCATTTCCGTTTGACGGTTGGAGGAATCCAGTGTGAATTCATAAAACTCCTTGTATCAATATGAACTCCTTGTCCAGATTTAATTTACAAATATACGGAGTGTATATATGATCTTGCATCTTAGATTTAAAACTTAATTCTACGTTCTGATTTTATATATAAAATCTCGTTTTACATTCAAAGAATATTGTATTACAGGAAATTTTCTCAACTTTCAGAAACATATGTTTCAAATCAAACTTTTTTAGTTATATACTGTGACCACATATTGAATCATGGTAGAAGCATATACAACGTATAAATTATTCGTAATACGTACGTACTCGGTATGTAGTATTATATATTGTACAACGTAGTAAACTTCCAGTTGGTAAAAAATTATTCTCAAAACCACAATACTGCATATACGTAATTTAGTACGTCTATAACAATGTAATTTAGAATATGATGTGGTTCATACATCAATATTAAAAAGAACCTAGTTTATTCATATATTTGTATATACCTAGAATGGTTTTTTGGTTAACCGATTAACAGTTAACCTATGTGATGGTTAATTGTTACCCGGTTAATCGTCATTATGGTACGGTTAATGGTATCATAAACATACTAACTGATATTTCGGTTAACCGTAAATTGGTTAACCGAAATACGGTTAACCAACCATGCCCACTCCTACTTGCAGAGGCCCTTATTGTAACTTCTTATCCTAGTTGCTAGGAAAATTGAACAGTCCGAGTAGACACTTTTTTTACTCATTAGTAGTCTAGTACACATATTTGTGAAGTGTGCAGATGTTATTTTGTCTATAAATATGTTTTGTCTGTGACCATGTTTCTCGTGTGAACATGTCTCTGAACATTTTTTTCAGTGAACAGATCATTAATGGACAAAAAATAGTATGTTCACATAGTTTGTATAGAGTGTACACAAAATATGTGCAAACTCTTTTTTTCAATATTGAACAAGGGCAAAAGACACAACCACATAAAAGGACTAAATACACCCAATAATCCTTAGAAGCCGTGTTTGGAATTAATTCAACTTTTTTAAAAACAAAGGTAAAATCATAATCAAATTTTCAAAAGTTGATCTTTTAAGCTTTTCAGAACACTTTGGGGCTATAAGTACTTATGCACTTACACTAAAACATTTTAATATCGGTTTTTGCTCGTTGAAGGAGCATAAGCAGTTTCAAAAAGTAGATCTAAATACGACATAGTCTCATTTTAATCCTAATTCTACGTAATCCATATTAATGCAACTTTTGTCATTTTTCGCTGTTAAGTTCACCACCTATATTTAGCGACTATTTTATGGCCATTGCTTGAGCTTGGGCTTTACAGAGTATTTTTATAGACAAAATGTCAAATATACTTTTCTACTAGTATTATTTCCAATCCCTTATTTAAAAGGAAATTTTTTGAAATAGAAGTAATTAGATTTTGGAATTGGAACGTCAATCTTGTGCGATGATTTTTGGACTTCATGCATAATTTACATACAACACAATTAATATAAGAGCATCTCCATTCGTGATCTCTAATAATCAATTTTTTCTATGATTCTTACCATTTAAATATTGTTATATAATTAATTATAAAATAATCTCAAAATTCGTTTATGTCTCTCAATCACCATCTTCAAATAATCTATTTTCTCTGTCTTGCATTAATCTCTATTACATATATTTTTCAAATAATCTTAAAATAATCCGGATTCATATTTTGATCCCAGATTATTGTAGCAAATAATCTCATTAAATAATCTATGTCACTCAATGATAATTCCCTAAAAAAACTTCCATGTCACCAAATTAATCTCATAATAATCCTCCCAATGAGGATGCCCTAACAAAAATATTATTAATCATTGCGAGTGAAATTAAATTTACACAAAGAGAGTGCATGTATGTACAAGTGCTTGTAAGAATAGAACCACAAAGGATCCGAAGGCAAGGAACAAATTTCATTTGGGGAGGATTCGTTCGTATACAAGGACGAGTATGTCGATGACAATAATTGTGAAGAAGAATGTAATGGTAAATTTAATAAATTATTGATGGATACAACCGTCAGAATATCTTTGCACATTTGTAGGTGATTCAATGACGGAAATAATCGTCGGTGAAATTGTTGTATTTCCATTTCAAGAACTAACAAATTACTGTCTGCTTTTGAAGGGCTTTTGGACGGTTCCGTCGGTAATTAACAATGATTTTAACCATCGCTAAATATCTGTCGGTAAATTGTCACATTTATCACACCTTTTATTTGAACTACACCTCGTAAGCGTGTGCACACACATATACTTCCTACGTTCAGGAAAAACAAACTTTGATTGCAATCATAGTCACTAAACCCTACTAGGTCACGTTTTGTTCATAACTTTTGTATTAGTAATATTTTAGGAAAACCCTCCTCTTTTATAAGAAATCACTAATATCACTACTCCTATCTATTTTTTGCTTTGTTTACATAAAGTAAGACAATATTTAGAAAGTCCAAGAAATATTTTATATTATATGAATATATGTGTGTGTGTTTGTGTGTGTCAAATTACATTTTTTGCCGGATGCAGGATAATTAATATGGGTATTTATTTATGCCCAGTTGTTATATCGTGGGAGCAACCCATGGTGAGTACCGTATCCCACATCCAAAGCACGCATGAACATTAATTTTTTTCTCAAGAACAATGTGACTTAACTTGCATTTAAAGAAATATAACTCACGTTTGATGAAAAATGCAACTAGAGGCAAGTTGAAATATAATTGTCTGATACGGAGTATAAGAAATAAAACATTGATTTCAACTTCAATGCACAAAATGAAAAATGAGTCTAATTGCTCAATTACTTTACATAAATAGTCAATATGATTTATTTTTAATATCATGGCTATAAAAACGATTTAATAAAAAATCAATTTTTTGTTTCTATAGCAACTGTTTATTTTGTGGTGTAACTCATGTTATGACAAATGTAACCCGCGTTGATGAAAAATGTAACATGCATGTATGTAAAATGTAACTTGATGTAACGCGTGCATATGTAGATTTAAATCGCGCATAAAAATATATAGTCGTGCACATGAATATGTAAATTGTGCATAAGAAGATATAACTTCCGCACTTAAAGAAGTAAAACACGCATAAGAAGATATTAATCGCGCACATGATAAAGACGTAAATCGTGCATAAGAAAGTGTATTTGGCGCACATTAGGATGTAATTGCATATAAGAAGATGTAACATCATATATTATAAAATGTAACACCAGAAATCAAAGTAAACAAATTCAATTTCTTAAAAAAACCTCTAAGAACTTTGTCAAAAAAACCTCTAAAACATATTAAAGAAATTAAAATATATTATAGGAAAAAATGCATGAATGTAAAAAATATATTACAAAAATTGTATGAATATAAAAATATTACAGAAATAAAAATGGTATATGGATATAAAATGCAACATACTTATTTATTTAGATTGATAAAAATTTTGTTATGAATTGATAAAGAATAACAAAAAATAGATTGATTTATAATTTAGGTTGAAGATAACGAAAAGTAAAATTACAATTAAATTGTTAGCATTTTAATGGGAAGGAGAAAAGAATTGAAGAAGAAAACAAAGAAGAATAAGTTAAATAAATGATACATAGTACACTGCAGCGATGTAAAAAAAATGAAATTATGTGATAGTGAGATTGGTATACGTATATATTGTACAACGATTACATCCCAAGATATAATTTGCGATTTATATAAGCCAAGAACACATCATTTGTAGAGCATATATAGAATTGGTTGCTACCTCAAAACAAAGAAAAGAATTTTTTGTTAGTACATCAATTTTGACCTTCTGTCGTCGTAGCCCTTCTTTATGTAAGCTTATCTAGTTTTCTTTCTTTCTTTCTTTTTAAATCAGAAAATATATACTCTCAGTTCCTAAAAATTCTTCCTGGTTTGACTTGACACGCTTATTAAGAAAGTGGAATAAATTGGAAATGTATGGTTGTAGTTGTGTAAGAAAAAGGTAAAATGAATGTGAGCCATACAAATTGTCCAAAATGGGAAAGTGAGAAGTATTTTTGGGAAGAGTTCAAAAAGGAAAGTGAGAGGTATTTTTGGGAACGGAGGGAGTATCATTGTTCTTCCTCTACTTTTGATATATCAATTGCGTATTTACATTATTATAAATATACTCCTACCCCATCAATTAATGAATGTTAATAGTTTCAAATTATGTTTATAGAAAATCATAGATTTGATCTCGTATCTTTGTTTCTGTTTGCTTTTAGTACTGTAAATTTATTAATATCACTTGCAAATCTCACCCAATAAGTAATAAATGCGTACACGTATCTTTCCAAAAGAAAGTACACTTTTTAATAGAAAATTTGACATCGATCACATCAACTTTGGTATGCTTTTTGCCAGAAATTATTCCGACAGAATAGTCCTTAATATGGATAAATTTATTAATATACTTACAGTTTACCCAAAAAAAAGTATAAAAATATCCCTCATTTGTATAATTAATTTCTCATATTCTCTTAATAAATTATACTCTTTAATATTTTCTAGGCACTCTCTAATTCAGAAAATATTTCCTAGCTAATTCAAATGTTAGTCTCTGACTCTTACTTTAGTGTCAATTGGTCAAACATATTGTAGGCCTTTTTAAGACTAAAAACGTATAAAATATTCCTATCATAAGAAAAAACAATGTAGTAAAAAAATAAGAAAACTGAAATCACTAAAAATTGCGGAGAAAAACTGAAGGAAACCGCATCCAACCATTAACAATGATTGGCCAGATGATGAAACAACACATATCCACCGTACGATTTGGCTCAATTTATGGATGAACAAAATCAACATGAGCCGAGAAGTAGCGACTAAATCGTAAAATTAAGTAACAATTAATTTTTCTATTATTGATTAATTATCTAGACTAGACTAGACTAGAATATCCAGTCGCGCATCTTTCTCCACCTGTATAATTACACCATGCATACCACTGTTAAAAACATATTCACATGAACATATCCCTCTTGGGAATTAATATGGGATTAGTGTGTGTGTATATATATATATATATATATATATATATATATATATATATATATATATATATATATATATATATATATATATTCTTTTACTTTTATTTTCTGACTCAAAAAAAGGGATTAGTGTATATATATATGTACTAATATATATAGCTCATTTGTAGTTATTTAATTTATCGAATAAGCTTTTCCTTACATAATTTATACTAGTAGGATAGATAAGCTTATCTGATTATGAACTTTAGTACCCTCCATGCACTTCATATATATATATACGGAGTATAATATAGGATACTATCCTCCCATCTTTGCTTGTTATTTCATATATTTTGGAAGTTTTGGTATAAAAGTGGTGGCTTCAAAAATGTGATGATTTCAAGAAATGTCAATTGCGATGTCAAATTCTTACGCTGGTAATCTCGCTCCACCGCTGAACATAGGGAATTTCCTGATGAGGTAAACAAATAGAAATACAAAAATTAAAAAGAGTTTAGTGATGATAAATACGTTCAATTTAATACAGCCTTGATCATGACGTCACACCAAAACTAATTTTATAAAAAATTGGTGTGTTATTTTGGCGACATATTATTCTTATTTATAAAAAAGACTCAAGGAGTCGTTACCGAGTAAAAGAACGTATATACAAGGGAAAATAATAAAAATACCCCAAACTTTGAAGGAATGTGAGATAAACATCATAAACTTACATACGTAATTTAAATACCTCAAACTTTATAAAAAAGTTATTTTCGCACCATTGTCATGTACGTATTATTTCTTTCAAAATGTAAATTTATGGGATTAATTGCATAATTAAATTAGAAAATTAAAAGTGTTGCAATTTAAATTGATTGGAGGCAACATTATTTATTTCGCAATGGAAGTTTAGAATGTTAATTGTGTCTCCATGGATTCTAAAATATTTTAAATTATGCAATTTACACCATATATTTACAATTTTGAAATAAATAATACATGAAAATGGTGCGAAAATAACTTTTTATATAAAGTTCAGGGTATTTAAATTACATATGCAAAATTAGGGTGTTTACCTCTCACCTCTTCAAAGTGTTAGGTATTTTTATTATTTTTCCCTATATACAAAGTATATGCATAATATATATACATATATGCATGAACGAAGGTAGAATTATTAATTATGTATTTATATACTATTTCCATCCCAAAATACTTAGCCAAATCTTAAAATTTTGACCATGATTTTAATTAGCATAATATTATGAAAGTTATAAATTTTATATACTTTTAGGAAAGAACTTTTAACAAAGAACATTTTATGTCATTTTTATATTATAAATAATTTTCAATAAATATATATAATTGGTTAAAGTATTGAATTTGATCAAGTATTTTAGGACTGAGGTAGCTTAGTACTAAGTACTCCTTCCGTCCCACAAAACATGATCAAAGTTGACTTGCACTTAAATTAATAAAGTAAAAATTGTGTCGTTGAAATTTGTGGATAGGAGAAAGAAATAACTTTAGCCACATCTTTCTTACCCGTATAAGTCAGGCCATCTGGAGCGAGGCTTGATGTAGATGGGATGGTTGGGGGCGTTATAGCGTTGGACAGAATCGGCAATCTTGGCATTCTCGAAAGCACAACAGCCGACGGAGTAGACGACGATGAGGACAACGACCATGATGATGTTGAGCATAGATATCTTCTGCCACTCTCTGCGCATGTCTTCCAGCACCGCCGCTTTGCAGGAGTCGCAGTCGTAGCACAGAAAGGACGGGTCGTTGTTCCACCGCTTGCAGTCGGAGTCCTGGGTTTCCAACGCTGCTCCGTAGTTGCATGAAGTTGGTGGCTTGCAACACCCTGACTGCATCCATCCAATTCATATCTTCTTTTTATTACGTAGTATTATTTATCTCATACCGATTAATAGATAAAATCTTTAATTTAGGAATTTACATTGTTCTACGAATCGTTCTAGGCGCCCGATTAGTTCCAGCCTAGGCGCTAGGCAGTGATCAGGCGCTTCAATTTTTGTCTAGGTGTCTTGACTAATTTTTTTGACGCCTGGGTGAATTAGTCGGCCGCTTAGAGCTTTTAGTTGCCCGCCCAGATCGCTTAATCGCCGTCTAGGGCGTCTAGATTCACTGAACAATTTTTTACTTTTAATTTTCTTTTTGTAAGAGATATATGTACAAGTAACTTTAAACATAAATATGAAGAAAGATTTTTTCCCCGTATTTTTAGGAGGGGTGAGACAGACCTGAGCAGTAGTGCAACGCTCAGGCCACTCTTGGAAGCCCAAAGAGCAAGCTGCCTTCATGAACTTCCCCCCTTAAAAATCGAGTTAATATCGTGTGGACTAATAGCCCACATATCAGTTATTAAACTGATATGAACATATACTACACTTGGTCATAGCCAAAAAGTCGAGAAAGGTATAATATCCAGAAAGATATTTGTACATTAAGACTAAAAATTATAAATATGTTTGTATATATATTTAATATTTGTAACATAATGTAATTAAGTGATTAGTTATCATATATTATTGCATATGACAATTCTATCCTTCATGCATGTTAATGTGTCTGTATATATTTTTCACACACACAAACACGATAATGTCGTTATACTATGTATTATTATCATATTTGTGTAAAAGTATTGATAAAAATACAATTTATGTGTCTCTGATTAGTCCCCACCTAGATATCCGCCTAGCCGTCTAGGCGCTAGGCCCTGGGCTTCCGCCCGACTAGCGTCCCGCGCCTTTTAGAACATTGGGAATTTATAAATAACTAAACTTATGTTTTTGTTGGACTGAAATTTTCTGCTTAGAATTGATCTATTCAAGTGATTAAGTTTGATCTATTTAAATATAGTCGGTTCCAGCCTCTTTAAGAATGTTTTTACTTGAACTGAAATTTACTGGTCTAGACATAATGAAGAAAATGCTCAAAAAAATTTATCAAAAAAATCCACCGGGAACCGCTCCAAATGACGACGGTCAGACAGAACTCCTATATAAGGGGTGATTTGCACTTTTTAAATTAATTCAAGTGCCTATTTGACCCTTTAACCTAACTTTTATGAGGGGTGGAGACATAGATGTCAGTTTAGGGAGTTGAAGCTTCCGGAATTTATATTGTGACCATAATTTATAATTTCAATATATTTGTACAATTTATAAATATTTATACACACATATATATGTACATCATAGTTTTTTTCTTGGAGAATGAGGTCATGTCCAACCCCTCCTTATATCCATCAATAATGATTTTGTCATCTTTCATTTGTTTATTGTATCAAAACTTAATATTTTTCTTTTGTAATCAATCGATTGATTACAAAAGAGTACACGAAGTACATAAATCTTGTTGTTTGTATTTGGTGACTCAAAATCTTTTGAGAGCTATTTATACTTTTAGTTTTGTGAACAGTATTAATTTTAATCATAAATTAATAAATTCGAATGTTAAGTTATTGTAAAAAACAGTAGATTCCATCGAATGAGAATAGAAACTTTGTACATATTGAGGTACATTAAATGGAATCGATCAATCACTGAAGAAGAGGGATATTTACCCGAAGAGGTGACATATCATTGGTTTGATAGTCAGAAGGCGTCCAGTTGAGAATCGACGCACAAGTGTTTGAACCCAAGATGCAGCCCCTAATGGGCATCCAATTACGAGGATCCGAAACCTTCATCCTCAGCCACCCGGAGTAATTCGGCAGCCGGTACTCCTTGTACACCTTGCCGGGAACCGCCACACCTCCGCCGCGGCTCGTGACCACGAACCCGAAGATGGTCACGCCCATGAGGGCGGCGATGAGGAAGAGCATGACGAGGAGGTAGAGCCAGAGGACCCACGTCAGGCGGAAGCACGCGCCGATGAAGCCCGCGAGCGAGACGGTGAGAATGATGAACCCGATGGCGAGGAGCGGGGTCTGGAGGAACTTCTCGCAGGTGGTGCTGCTCCTCGCCATCCACAGCCCGGCCCCGATGATCGGGATCGATGCCACCAGCGTGATCAGGTTCAGGACGCCGATCAATGTGTTGCTCACGCCGTAGTAGAACCGATCCATTCCGGCCATTTTCTAGTTACTCTGTTTTGGACGGCCGGCGGCCGGAATGTCACATATGGAGTGGAGTATATACTATCTAAGATCTTTCTTTTTTTCAAATTAAAATGCGTGACTTGTTATTCCGACACGATAATGGATAGGAAGTGGAAAGCAAGACAAATAATGGTAATGTACACTATATAGATATGTGTGTTTGTGGGTGGTGGGGCGGGAAGTAGCTAAATTGAACTTCTTAGCAACTAAGTAAACTTTTTTTAGTGTGAGTTATTTATTACTTGAATATAATTTTACAATTTAATAAATAGAAACGTATTGCATTAAAATAGTTGATTGATTTGAATACTTTGAGGCTTTGTACAGTGATATTAAACAAAATAAACTTATCTTTTGATTAGTTATTTAACAAGTCAATACACTTGTTTAAGGGCGATTGACCGTATGTCTAATCTTAGAGTTTGTGATTGTATTGATATGTCTAATATTTTGGGTAATATTCTCTTATGTCTACTATGGTGAATGTCTGCGAGTTTTTGAGGAAACTTTCTCTATCCCGAAATAAAGTTCTATTTTTTTTTTGGGATTCTCAAAATAAAGTTCTTAGTTCAATTTCTTTCTATTATGCATTTACCTTTTTATCGTCGCATCAAATCACATTACTATCCATTACTCCCTATATTATACTCGTTTGAGTACTATGAAGTACATGTTTTAATTATTCAAGGACATACATTTTTGAAAAATAAACTTCATTTTCTATTTCTACCTAAAAACTCGTGAAGTCACACTAGGAATTTCATTTCGGAGGGGTATTACTTTAATAAGGGCTGTTCTGGTGCGTCCATCCGCACGAGAAGCGCCGTCCGGCCGACGGCGTTTGGATGCCTTCCTGGTGGATTTCTTTGATGAAATTTTTATGGAATGTTCTTCATCAAGTCTAGTTTATCCACAAAAAAATTCAGATAAAAACTCAATCCGGAAGGTCTTCAAATGATTTTTTGAAGTTAACTGTGCAAAATTACACACAAAAAACACAGTCAACTTCAAAAAATTATTTGATGACCTTCCGTATTGAGTTTTTTAGCTGAATTTTTGTGTGCATAAACTAGACTTGATGAAGAACATGTCATAAAAATTTCATCAAAAAATTTCACCGGGAAGGCAGGCAAAAGCCGTCGGCCGGACAGCCCCTGTGGTGCAGCCGGACGCACATGAATACTCCTCTTACTTTAAGTCCGTTTTATTCAATAAATAAATAAAACTAGTGCAAGTATAAAGTAACTATCCCTTAATTTTCTTTTTCACTCCACTAATTCAGAATCGAAAAAGTTTATACACTAATTTACCTCACTAATCAATCAACTCGTAGTGCTTCATTACTTTTATAGGGATTTGGGATCCTCCCTTATTTTCTTTACCATTGTGATGTAATATCCATCCAATCCAGATAGCTCACATACAAAGCCCTTCCAACTTTTCCGACCTCATAATCATATTCGTTGGTCATTTTGATCACGGAAATGGACAGCGAGCGTTCGAGATTATTTCAACTTAAAAAAGTTACATACAATAGTACTCCTATTTAGACCATCTCAGATAAGCATCAACTTCTACACCAAAATGGTGCATTTGTCAAAAAAATGCTCCAATAGCCACACCATCTTCAACACCATTTCACCATTTTGGTGGAGTGCCTTTGGCTTTATTCATATATGGCGTACACCAAATCCAACACCATCTTCTTTTTCTATATTTTTTATTTCAAATGTGACCCAAAGTTTTGATTATTATAATATTGACCCATTTTTAAAACAATAAATTAGGATGTTTTTATTTGGACTAAAATTTGTTGGTCTGATCTTGTCGGATTTAGTCTAGTCTGTTCTGAATTGATTTGGTCTGGTCTGATTTCTTTGTATTTTTATAACTATCCAAGTTTGGTCTAATCCGATTTAATCTGATCTGAGACAAATTACAGTCCAAATAAAAACATCTATATAGAACAACAAATTAAAATTATTAATTTGATAGAAATAACAAAAATATAATAAAATTTAAATCGCACAATATTATAAATAAAGTTTCAAATCGAAACAACATAATAACAGAATACAAATGATACTTAAGAAAATAACATAATTAAATTACAATTAATAACACCATTATAATTAGTGAAATATTGATTATTGTATTTTAATTAGTGAAATGCGTGAAAATACATATTAAAATGGTGTATTTTATTTTGTATGTGTGAAATGTCAAAATATTAAATGTGAGGCTAATGTATAAATATATGATAGTTAGATACTTAAATAGAAGAATGGTAAAGAGTTAGTAAAAAGAATAAAAAGAGAATATTCCTTTTTGGTGATGAAAATGGTGTAAACTGTTAGAGATAAAATATTGTTTGATGTGATGTTTACACCATTTTAGCGTAAAAAATGGTGTAAACTGTTGGAGATGGCCTAAGTGGCTAACACCGATCTTGGAAATTGCGGTACCTTTTCTTTTTCTTTAGATGAACTATCACACTCCATACAAGATGAAGCAATGATTGTGCGACCACCTGTGCCAGGCTGCCAGCTCCTTGTACTAGAGGATCATCATTTGAGAACATTATCTCAAATTCACCTCTTTAATGACTTAAATTTAAGGTCTCGCATATGAGTCATACTCCTCTTCATTTCATTCTCTCCATTTGCTCTCTCCATTTCTTTTTCACTCTATCTCTCTGCTTAAAAATAATAATTAAACATAATCTTTTCTTTTCCCCTGTCTCACCATCCCCACCTCTCTCTATCTCTCTTCTAGTGGACCATTCCAGTTAATGGAGAGGAGCAAAATCACTCCCACATATAGAGGATCAAGTGTGCCAGTCATCCACTTGAACCACTTTGAGATGTCTAGTACTACCTCCGTTCCTATTAAAATTTCCAAATAGGTTTGACACACAGTTTATGATAGTGGGTATTGTGTGGCGGAGAGTTGTGCAGAAGAGAGAGAAATGTGTAAGAAATATTGTGAACCACAAATTCTTTACTAAAAAGGGAAAGTTGAAGTTTTAATTGGAACGGACGAAAAAGAAAAGTTGAAAGTTTATTTAGGAACGGAGGGAGTACTACTTATGTCCCATAATGTAAAGCTATACTTTACATACCTTCCTCCGTTCCTTAAAAATTGCAACATTGGAATTTCTGCACTATTCACATACCTTACTTTGACCACGATTTTCTAATAGTATATATAATAAAATTATCATGTATAAAATATTAATACATTTGTATTAATGTAAATTTTCAATATATTAACTTTTTTAATGTTTACTCATACGTAAATATATATAATTACAGTCAAAGTTGCGTGTTGACAAACGTGAAAGTCAAAGTGTGCAACTCTTAAAGAACGGAGGATAGTATGTATGTTTGGTGTGGGTTTTAAGAAACTAAAGGATAAAGTTGTTGTTTTTCTAATCTTCAAAAAGTAAGAAAGATTATGTTTAGTCGATAAAAATTGCACAGTGAAATGATAGATAAAGAATTAAAATGAAGAAGTAAAAAGTTAATGGAGTTTAATTTAGAAAAGTTCATATTTTTTGACAAAATGTGAGAAAGGGAGTATTTATTTTACGTTTTGATCAACCAGTGGTACTATCTATATATGTGTGGGTGCAGGAGCGTATGTATCGGAGGAGTGTTACTTGAAGAGTGTTACTTCTGTATTGGTCATTTTGATCACGGAAATGGACAACGAGTGTTCGAGATTATTTCAACTTAAAAAAGTTACATACAATAGTACTCCTATTTAGGCCATCTCCAACAAGCACAAACTTTTACACCAAAATGGTGCATTTGATAAAAAAATGCTCCAATAGCCACACCATCTTCAACACCATTTCACCATTTTGGTGGAATGCCTTTGGCTTTACGCCATATATGGCGTACACCAAATCCAACACCATCTTCTTTTTCTATTTTTTTTTTATTTCAAATGTGACCTAAAGTTTTGATTATTATAGTATTGACCCATTTTTAAAACAACAAATTAGGATGTTTTTACTTGGACTAAAATTTCTTGGTCTGATCTGGTCAGATTTGGTCTGATCTGTTCTGAACTGATTTGGTCTGGGTCAAAACATCATCTTCTTCTTCCATCTCCATCCTTCCATAGACATGGGTCAAAACTTTAATTTCTCATTGACTATAATCGTCGTCCATCTTGCGCCATTGCGGTTTACTTGACTATTCGAAAACTCATTGTAGATGTTCGCTGCTACGTTTCAACCTTGTCGATCCGTGCTGCCCAACAAACTGCATGCCCGGTAGATGAAGACCACTGTCAACAGAAAACTAAAAAACCCTAGAAGAGCTTTAGGGCCGTCCACCATTCCTTGTTTATTTGGTTTATTTATAAGGATATTTCTGACATACAGTATAAATACTAGAAAAGTGGTCGCGCGTTGCGCGAATGTAATATGCCCAATTTGAACTTGCTTTGAATTGTATATGCTCCATAATATAAAACATTATTTGAATATATTGATAATAAAGATGATGCATCGTTCCAGATACACAATTCTTATTTAATTTAATAAGAAATAGATGTTTTATTTTATATTATTTACATTTTCATTTTAATTTTAAAGTTTTTGGGGTTTTTATCTTTTAATTTAACGTTTTTAAATTATTTATCTATTTTTACATTTATACTATTTTTTAAATTATTTTTACATTTTTTCAAATCTATATGAAGTTTTACATTTAAGGTTACTTTTTATCAAAAGGTAACCTGCTATAGTAGGTCAAATAGGCTTGATTGATTGTGTTTGTAGAAGTACATTTGCTTTTATGATGCTTTTTTTAGTAAAACGTAAAACGACTTAAGTGAAGGATTGAAAATTGTAGAAAAATCTATTTGACAATTTTCCCTAATAATAATGTAAGATAAACTCAAGGTAGTCATCATGTAATAAAACACAAGGAGTAGTAGCTAGAATAAATAATATAGGAGGGGGGAGCACTACACTTAAAAACTAAGCATGAAATGATTGAGAAAACATAGTGATGGATAGAGTACCCGGGGGTAGCTTATCCGAGGGGTTATTACGGGGAATAACAAGGGAGAGGTCAGAGCAAGCAAGTATAGAGAGAGAGAGTATATTGGAGAGTGTTCAGCGTTT